GTATCTGGGCAGTTGGGCGGGTCAGTGCGTCGGCGATGTTCGATGCCCCCTTTTTGTAGGTGACCGTGTAATGGAATTTCGACTCGAGGAAATCAAGCCAGCGAACCTGTCGTGGGTTGAGGTGGGGCTGTGCGCGAAGGTACCGTAGGGATTTGTAGTCTGTCCGTACTGTCACGTCTGCGCCGGTCAAGTAATAGCTCCAAACTTTGAATGCGTGCACGATCGCGAGCATTTTGCGGTCGTGTATCGGGTACTTCTTCTCGGGAGGGTACAGTTTTCGTGACTCTTATGCGATGGGCTGTAGGCCGTTGCCGAAGTCCTATAGCAATACGGCTCTGATGGCGATATCGCATGTGTCAGTAACTACCTCGAACGAGCGGTGAGGGTCGGCAATGCGCAGTATGGGCGGTGTGCAGAGAACATTTTTCAGGGATGAGAAGGCAGCATGCTCTTTCTCCCCCCACGTAAACGCCACTCCCTTCCGCAGCAAATCCATCAGTAGGGCCGTTAAAACCAGGCCAATTTTTATCAGTGTAAATCACCCTGATACCCTGATAATCAGGGTGGTTTTTGGTAGCCGCACTAATGCCTTAGGGTAATTTTTTCAAGGGTTTACGTTTAAGGCACACTGACGGCCAGGGTTACCGTTCGTATTAACGAGTTTTTCCCTGAAGCAAATACCCCCCCCCCCCTCCCCCCACACCCTTTTCAAACTGCCCTCGCACTTCTGTCCCGCTAAACGGATGGGTTGTGATAGAGCGTGATATTTACACGCCGATGCGGTTCAGTATGTAACTTGATCTTCGGGAGGATGAAGGCCCGGGATCGAACTCTGTAGCCGGTCATTTTGTTCAGAACTTAAGTTGAAACACTGCATCAGGGTTCTAAAAATTGTTACACTGTGGCCTAAGGGTAAATTTCTTGAAACTATGGAAATCCCTGATGGAAAAGAATTCTTCAAATGGGTCACACTGATAATCAGGGTTTTGCAAAGGTGCAGGACTGATGATAAAGATTGCTTAAAGGCAGGGTCTTTGGTACTACAAGTGCTTTGCAATTGATGGTGAAAGTGTGTAGTTGATTGGTTGGCGAGGTGTAAGGTTCGAAGTGGGGTGAAGCGAGGGTGCGAAGCGAACGAAAATCGCTCGGGGTAACCGAACCATCTAGGCTTGGAAAGTTGGTTCGGAGCCAAACCTAAAATGCCCCCAACTCATCGAAAGTCTCAAGTACCCAAAAGTGTTGTGCAATTGCTTTTGGGGCAGTGATGCAAGCTGAGTTTCCAACCCAACCAGAGACAACTTCGCCAGCACTAACTTGGTTACCTAGCTTCAAGTGCTTTGCAGTCGACGACTCCTTAGCTTATATGAGACCCTGGCTTTAAAACCAAAAATTAGCCCTGGTTAAGTGCGCCATGTCGGGGATGAACTGACGGACGTAATTAACAAACCCTAAAAAACTCTGCAGCTTCGTGATGTTTGTCGGGGGACGCCACGCTTTTACTGTGTCCAGCTTCTTTGGGTCAATTTCGACCCCAGCCTCCGAAATTACGTGCCCCAGAAATTCTAACCGGTCCTTAAAAAACTCACACTTCGAACCCTTGGTCAGTAGGTGGTTTTAGTCTAAAATCTTCAACATTGCATCTAAATCCATTAAGTGCTGCTGCTTGTCGCGGCTGTAGACCAGGATGTTGTCAAGGTAAACTATCACGCACTTATCTAAAAGTGGTCTAAATGCCTCGTTCATGGCCATATGAAAAGTCGCCGGGGCATTGGTCAGTCTGAAGGGCATGATGGTGTACTCGAACGACCCGTACCTGGTTCTAAAAGCTGTCTTGGCGCAGTCTGACGGTTCGACTCTAATCTGATGGTAACACCCCCGTAAGTCAATCTTCGAAAACACGCGGGCTGTTCGCAGTTGGTATATCAGTTCGTCAGCATGGGGAATCGGGTATCGCGATTTGATGGTTACACGGTTCGGTGCTCCGTAGAACATACACATGCGAAACCCTCCGTCTTTTTTCGGTGTGAACAGTATCGGTGCGGCGAACAATGACGAGCTCGGTCAGATGAATTTTTTTTCTCTAAAAGGTAATATAACTGCTTCCTCAGTTCATTGAGCTCGGGCTGTGTCAGTCGGAACTGTCGCTGTACAATTGGTTGTGCCCCCGGTTCTAACTCTATTCGGTGATCGTATGCCCGCTGAGGTGGCAGTCCCTCCGATAAGTCATCTGGGAAAATTCCCGGGTGCCGTTTCAACAGTTCCTGTACTTCTGGCGGTACAGCTTCTAGAAGTTTCTGAAAATCGCTCGGCGCCTCTGCTTCTCCTACTACTGCGATGTCTACTACGTACACGTCAGCTCCAGCGGCAACAGCCCGTTTCATCGTGATGGTGTTGACGTGGACCGTTGAAGACCCAGGCGACTGCCAGCGAGGTAGCTCGACCCAGTTACCGCTACTTCGCACAGTGCAGCTACCCGTCGTCCAGTCAATTCGCGGGTTGTAGCGTCGCAGCCAATCACGTCCCAGTAAAATGTCGTACCCATCTAGCGTCGTCGCGAGCATTTCCTGTGTAAACCCGAAGTTCCCCCCGCAGCGAACTTTTACTCTCTCCACTTTCTCCCATATAGCCAGAGGCGTGCCGTCAACTAAGCGTGCATCTATCTCCGGTAAACACCGACTAAGTGTCAATTGCAGCTTTCGTGCAGTCGCGGTATTAACTAAGCTGTGACTTGCTCCACCGTCTATAAAGACCTTCACTGCTGCTCCCTGTATTTTCCCGTGGATCAGTACTGGGCAATCCGTCGCTGTACCCTCCTTATTCATCCGAGTCCGATTGATAGCATGAATCGGTACTGTGACTCGGTGAGGGTCGGTGAGGTTGGGCGAGCAGGTTGTCTCGTCAGTAGTTGGCCCGATTTCTACTGACTGCTGGCGTTTCCCTGCCTCTGAGACTCCCTCCCCTGCTCTGCTCCTCGGCGCCTTACTTCCTCTGGGCATTCGCTCTTGCCATGTCCCGGCCTATTGCAAGCAAAGCAGCGCCCCTTAAATGGCGCGGCAGCTGCATTCGCCGCAACGACATGTACGGTGACGTGTTCGATCGGTCCCCGAGGACGATGTCCGTAGTAGGACCCCGGTCTCGGTCGGCGCAAAATGTCGTTTTTCTCGGCGAGCGCTAGAATTTCGTTGAATTTAGATAGCCCGCGAAGCATAATCTCGTGCAAAATGTCCGGCTTCAGCCCTCCGACGTAACGGTCCACCCGCTCCGCCTCGTGCATGTAGCTGACATGTTCGCACAGAGCAAGAAAGCCGCTGGTGTGGTCTTGAACCGACCCGAGCTGTCGCCAAGTGCGCAGTTCTGACGTGCCGAAATAGAAGCCGCAATCGGCTCGAAGCGCGCCCGAAGCCCTGCGCACCACGCATCCCACGTGCTGTACTGGGCTGTTTTGTAGAACGAACTCCAGGTAACGGCCGGCCCCGTGGGCTCTTCCTCTTGCGATGGTGGCTCGTAGGCGCGTGGCAAAATTATGATAACTCGCCACCAGTCCATGGCGGGGCCCCGTAATAGCGAAACCGCATATCTGATCTTCGCTGCGTCCGAGATTATGTAGTTCGCGTCGAAGAACACATTCATCGTGAAGACCCACGACTAAACTGTCGGACCTTTGCGCTGGCTGGGATCGAAACAGGGCAGGCGCTGCGGCTTGAGCGGCATCAGCTCGTGGAGTTCTTCCTTGCCCGTAGACGCCGCAAATTCGACGTGACGACGACCCTCACGAGGCGTATTTACGGTCGGAACGGCCCTGGCTCTCGCCATGCCACGCATTGACTGGGCAGCGCCATTACTGGCTGCGCCTGAGACGGTCGAGCTGTTCCTGCGTCAACGTGGCGACGTTGAATTCGGCCATGGCAAGGGTGTCGGACGAGCTTACTGGGAGCCTCGGTCGTGGCTGTGCGTGCTTAGAGAGCACTTCGAGCGGCAGTGCTTGCTCGCTGAGAGACGTCTACCCCCTCCAAAAAATGAGATAGTGGGGAAGCGAAGGTGTGGGTGCGGTCCGAGAGAAGATCGTAAGCTCAGAATACCAAGTGTTACGAGGGCAATTGAGCGAGCGAGCAAGAATTGCACTATTGAAGCAAAACAATACAATGAGCGAAGGAATGAGCGAGAACTGCATAGCGAAGGCCACAGTGGTAATGGTAATGAACTGTGGGTGATGTGCGATGGGCCTGTGACTGAGGTCGGGTCTGAGGTCGGGAAGTGTCGAATTGGAGGCCCGGAGCGCGGGTTACCAGCCGAGCCGTGAGGTTGGGTTGCGACGGGCGAGGTGGCGGGAAATGGTCGAGGCGAATGTTGCGAGTGGTAACGGTGCTGAGTGTGGCGAGAATAAAAATGTACGCGCTAAGCACGGATGCGGCGTAAGGAAATGGAAATTTTCTTACATGCAACAACTATAAACTATGGGTTTCACTAACCATGAATGAGTTTTGCGTCAAATAACATTGGCAATGAAAGCATTTGATCGACCTCAAACGTACTGACCTCAATAAGCGGGCGATCAACCAGGCATGGCAGAATATCGTAGGTGATGGTAATCAGGAGTTGTTAAAGAAAGAGGTTCGGTGTAAACTGGAAGAAGAGCGATGAATGTCGAACATATTTTTATGTACGGATGCAGCTCCTAGGACCGGCAAAATACTTTTGCCTTGCTGGGTCTCTGATTTGGGGATACAGCTGGCCTGCAGGCAGGACAGGACATGTTCTCTCCAAGTCTCAACTTTGATTCCAATGCCCGAGAATGGTTTGATCAGGTTGTGATCTATCTTTTGTTCTGTCTTGCTTGGTTTGATATGCTTGTGGAACATTTTCTTTTACAAAAAGAGACACAACACCGTTGATGCTGGGATAAGAGCTGACCCCAAGGGCAAGGGAAAGGAAGAGAGAGGAGGATGAGCCCCCCCAGACCAGAGCCTGGCAGTGAGAAGCAGGAAAGGCAGGGTGAAACCATGGACCAAGGAAAGGCAAGGGCAGAGGAAGTGTGTTGTGCTCCTTGCTCGCCTCAACCTGTGGCTGTGTTCCCCAGAAGCAGCGCCAGCAGCAGTGGGGCTGTGGAGCAAGCCCAAGAGCTGAGCGCCTCAGCGATGTAGCCAGGCAGGCAGGCAGCCTTACGATAGCCCCACATGCAGAGTGTGGTGACGGATTCCGCTACCATGCCCCCAGACCTAGAATCAACTCACAACGCCACTGCCATCCCCACTCCCACCACCACCATCACCACCACTCCCACCACCACCATCACCACCACTCCCACCACCAATCAACTACAAAAACCACCACTTGAACTCACACACAGTGCTCACTCACACTCATATTCACACTCACCACTCACACACCTTTCCACACACTACTTACGTACCCTCACACTCATCACTCACACCCCCCACTCATCTCACCACTCACAATCACACCCAAGAGACCTCGTACCAGCTGAACCACACTCAACCGAATATCTGAGGCTGTACCAAAGGTTTGAAACTTGCTACCGTGGGGAGGTAGGTCTCTTGAGTGTGACAGAAGGCAGTAAAAAGGGCATCTGATGGATAGTGCAAGCAAGACATGAAACACAAAACAAGTGCGAGGGTTGGGAGGAGAGAGACAGGGCGGGTACTCAGCTGCTGGCTGTGCACTCCATGCCACCCGCTCGTTGCCCCCCCAGGTGCTTGCTTGCTACGCAGTCCCCGCCTCCTGCTACTGCTTCCCATCAGAGGCCAGCTAACTGCAAAGGGGAGAAAGGGCGGAGAGGCGAGCAAGAGAGAGTGTGAGGAGGGGGAGACAGCAGAGGCGTGCAGAGCAGCAGGGGTCTCCCCTGCAGCAGCGCCACCACCTCTTGGCCCTGGGGGAGGTGGGAGAGGGGAAGGTGGGAAGGGGGGGAGGAGGGGAGGGGAGGTGGGGAGGGTGAAGGGACGCCCACAGCGCACAAGCACGAGCGAGCGACAGCAAGGGGGACAGCAAGGAGGGGAGTGGACGCATGCACGCAACGACCACTGCAAGTCCAACCCACTCCAACCCACTAACGACTCTTCCCTACGCAACAAGCGGTTCATGCAAGTGTCGTATGCCATGGGCTTCCAGGCAGAGAGGAGTTGAGTCGGAGAGGGGATGGGGAAAGGGGGGGTGAGCGACGGAAGAGGTGGGAGCATACAATCCAGGCAGTCTGGGTTTCAATTCAAACAGTCCAGGTTTCAAACAGTCCGGGTTTCAAGCAGTCCGGGTTTCAAGCAGTCCGGGTTTCAAGTAGTCCGGGTTTCAAGCAGTCCGAGTTTCAAGCAGTCCGGGTTTCAAGCAGTCCGGGTTTCAAGCAGTCCGGGTTTCAAGCAGTCCGGATTTCAAGCAGTCCGGGTTTCAAGCAGTCCGGGTTTCAAGCAGTCCGGGTTTCAAGCAGTCCGGGTTTCAAGCAGTGCGGGTTTCAAGCAGTCCGGGTTTCAAGCAGTCCATGTTGCAGGCAGTCCGGGTTCCCAGGAGACAGGAGCGGGCATTCCTTGTCCCAGGAGTCCAGGTTTTAGGCTGACAGTCTTCCAAGTAGTACGTTTTCCTGGCAGTAAGCAGTGCAGGAGCAGAGTAGAGAGGAATGGCATGCACGGGACAGGAATGAGCCTCGCATAAACTTATCTTGTGAAGGCGTGCAGCTGGGGCGGCGCAGTGAAGCGTGGCTGCCAGGCGTGATGAGATGAGCGCCATGCTGCTCGCCACGTGCTGCCTCGCCACGTGCTGCCTCGCCACGTGCTGCCTCGCCACGAGCTGCCTCGCCACGTGCTGCCTCGCCATGCGCCGCTGCTGGAGTCTGTGACGGACCGCCACCACCACACGCCCAGTTGTTTGCCGCGTTCCTTCTTCGCAATTTGCACCTCAACGCTTCAACGCGTTTTCTATGAATTCTGCACATCTAGAAGCGAAATACGAACTAGTGAGTTAAATCTACGAATGATATGCGAAAAGCAGTTAACGCGTTTAATTTGAAATTTCGGGCATGAGCAGCGTACCTCACGCAGGGACAGCGTGGCTGGAGGCGGAAGCGATCCTCCATGCAGCAGCCGGCACGTCCAAGTGCAGTCTTGCCGTGGACGAGCGACCGCTTCGCGATTCTCATGAGGCGCGTCGTGAGCTTCAAACTTGGATGCGGCAATCAGACGAGCTTATGGAGGTCGCAGCTGCGGGGACGATGTCTTGTGGAAGTTGAACACTCTCAGAATTGCAGCTGCTGATGGCGGAAATTGCTTTTGAGCACGAAAGTCGTTGCTTTTGACAACAAATTTTGATGTGGGAGGAGGTGTTTGCAACCGCAATTTCCGCTGACGGCTGGCCGAATTGTTGCCAATTTGAAGCTGCTGACGCGGACATTTGTTTCTGCGGGTGGAAATTGCTGTCGACGAGGACATCGCAGCTAACGGAGAATATTGTTGCTGCTGACGGAGAAAACGCTTCTGCTGGCCGTGAACGTTTAGAATGTATTTCGACGTATTGAGAGGAGCATGGAGGTGGAGTGGCGAAAATGGAGATCTGGAGAGGATGGTCGTGGAGGTCCTGTGTCTTGCCTTCATCACACTCAACTTCCACTGCCTGCGTCTTCTGCTCGTGTCGCTAGTGGAGGGCGGGTCCCCTGCCGTGTTCTGTCAGTGTGGATATTGCTGCTTCTCTTGCGGGGAGTGTTTCTGTATTACCACTTGCTGTTGCAACTACATCAGGGTGCCTGAGCCCGTGCTGACAGACGGAGCTGAGACAGCCTCAATGTATTTAGTGGGAAAGCTATTTCAGAGATTGTTGTACAGTACTACCGTAGGCACTTGCTCTCTGGGAATGGTACAAAGAACACATTCTCCAGATTTCTTCATTCTCCATTCACATCATAGGCTACCCCACCAATCGTACTCACATTCTTAGCATACGGTAATCACATTGAGCATTCACAACAAGAGTCACTTTCTCAGCCTTCTCTCACAGGGTAATTTGCGTTCTGGACATGCACATTGCGCACCCATTCCGACGGGACTCTGGCACACCACCCTAAATGCAGTCACATCTTCCAGAGCATCACAGCAGGGGAAAGTTGGTAGATGCAGCCAACACCTGACCTCATCAAACTGCGCAGCAGAGCAGGCGCTTATTCAGCTTATTCAGCACAGGAAAGGCCCTGAGCACCATGAGACTGTGAAGAGATCAACTGTATCAGCCCGCAACAGGGTCAAGTGATCTTGGTATCAGCGCTCCTGGATCTGCCACAGCAACGATACAGTAGCATATCGCACACATGATCAGCACAATGCAGTGAACCGACAGTGCCGAAGTGACATGCCAGCAGTGGAGGGAGGGAGTCAGTGAGTGAGACGGCCCGGTACCTACAGGTATGAGGGTGTTAGCGCAGCCATGGGGTGCAAATGTCAGTTGAGCACTGCATTGGCATCGAGGCGAGCGACCTGTTGTGATGAAACATGAGATGCAAAGAACACAGGAAGCAAGAGCAGAGTACAGCGGACACAGCGCCCCATTCCTGGAGGCGAGGAGAAAAGCGAGGAGGTTGCAAAGCGACCTTGTTAACAAGGAGCGCGATATGGGCCTCGTAACGCTTCGTTGACTCCACCAACTGCATGAGCGCCGCCGCCATCCACACCTTCTCCGCTTGCATCTACAGGAAGGGCATGGGGGATGAAACGTGAAAGGCGCAGGTGAGAGGCGCGCACGGTGAATGGTAGGAGATGAGGTGCAGGGTGCGGATGAGGTGAGGGGTGGGGATGAGATAGGAGAAACCGCAGGGCAAAGGGGAGAAAGGGTGGAGGAGACTAACTGACAGAAGCACAGAGGATTCAAGCGAGGATGAGGCAAGCGGAAATGAGAGTCAAGGATGCATGTCACCTGCTCTAGTGCTGCCGACCGCTGCCTCTCCGACTGCTGCAGCTTTGACCGCATCTTCCCGTACTCCTGATGGTTAGACAAGGCATGATGGTGCAATGATGTGATGGTGTAATGGCGCAGTGCAATGCATGAAAGTGTGGACAATGCATGGTGAATGCACAAAGGGGCCGGATGGTATTGGATATCTGCCTCTTTCCACGCCTTCCCATCCCAAACCCACCCCACCCCATGCACCCTAAGCCCCATCCCACCCCACCGCACCCCTCTCACCTGCCGCGTGCACGCCAACCATGTGGCATCCACCATCCACTTCTGCTGCCGCCACACCTGCACCACGCCGCACCTTCCCACTGGTGTGGGCTGCGGTGGGTTGGCAGGGCGGCTGCCCCAGTGGAAGCTCGTGGAGAGAGAGTGTCTGGACGGGTGAGAGAAGGGGGAAGGGAGAGAACAGGATGAACCAGAGAAAGTGATGGTCGTGGTGGCATGGAATGTTGGGTGCAATGGGATGTGCGGTGGAACACGACGTATAGGAGGTGATTCTCAGTGGCCGTGTACTCTCCTCTATCCCCTCCCCTTGTTACCCTCCCCATTCCCCTTACCCTAGCCCCTCTCAAGTCCCCTTCACCTTTCCCTCTTCCCGTTATGCCCCACTCACCTGTCGCCCTCAGCACTCATCACAGCGGTCGCACCACCAGCACCCGCCAGAACCGGCGACGCCCCCGCTGCTCCCGCTGCCCCTGCAGCGCCCTTGTCAGCCCCCTCCCCCCCATTGCCTGCTGCCTGTGCGCCTGCCTGCCGAGTCCTTGGTGCCAACGCCACCATCTCCCCGCTGTGCAGGGGGAACGCCCGTGCTGCTGCTGCTGCGTCTGGAGAGGAGCTGATGGGGGAGAGGGAAGGGGCGTACACACCAAGGCAAGCAGTGAGAACAGCTCTCACCTGAAGGGAAGAAGGTGGCACTCGCCTGCCTCCTCGGGCCCTCTGCACCAGTACTGCCAAGGCCGTGCTGCTGTGTATCGGCACTGCCATCTCACACTGCCGAGAAGAATAGCGGCATCGCTCCTGCTGCTGCGACTTGGTGGAGGAGCCAAAGGCAGTGAGCAGCCACCCAAGCCCACCACACCACCAGGCCCACCATCCCAGGCAAACACTCACTCCGGCCCTAACCAGCCGTCCCGTTTGATTCCAACAAAGTTGTATCCCCATCCACCACCTCTCACCCGTCAACAGCGGCCATCAGTGTGGCGAGGGCAGCGTCTCGCATAGCCCTCTCCTCGTCCATGCGCTGCACCATCGCCTCCACCTCCGCCCTCACCGCCTCCACCTCTGCTGCCACTGCTCCTGCTCTGGTTGAAGCAGCCTCATGAGCAGCAGCAGCCTCAGCAGCAGCTTTACCCGCCTCTTCAGTGGCAGCCCAGGCTTCCACCAGTTGTGCTGCGGCTGCGCCTGCAGCAACAGAGGCAGCCTCCAGCTTGCTCCTCAGCTCGCCCGCCTCCTCCTCCAGCTCCCGCAGCCGCCTCTCCTTCTGCTCCCACTCTGCCTTCTCCTCCCTCCACGCCGCCTCCAGCTTCAGCTCCCTCTTCATCCACTCCTCCTTCCTCCTCAACTCCTCCTCCTGCTCCTCCCTTGCCCGCTCCTCCATCTGCCTCGTCATTTCCACCCACCGCTCCCCCTTCCTCCTCCAAGCCTCCTCGTTCGCCCTCCGCACAACCGCCTCCCACTCCTTGTCCTGCACCTCCATCTTGCGCCACCACGTCTGCTGGACCTCCTCCATCTGCCCCAGCAACGCTGCCTCCCTCTCCTTCATCTCCACCTTCACCGCCTCAATTTTAGAGCTCCACACAGCATCATCCCTCACAGTCGCACGCAGCTCCTCCACACACCTCTCGTGCTCCGCCTGCCGCCTCTCCGCCTCCCTCCTTGCCGCCTCCTTGGTGACCTGCTCCCTCTCCACCTCTTGAGCCATCTCCCCCAGCCGGTCCGCCATCTCAGACAGCCCTCTCTGCATCTCTGCCACCACGCCCCGCAGCTCCCCCACCTCACCCTGCGCCCTCACCGCCCTCTCTCCCTCCTCCCTCGCTCTCCTCTCCGCCTCCTCCAACTCGCCCCGCACTCGCCCCACCTCCTCCTGCTGCCGCCTCACACTCTCTCTCCACTGGCTCACCTCCCTGTCCCTGGCCTCCACCGCAGCGTCTCTCTCGCTCTGCAGCATCGTCATCTCCTCCTTCGCCGCCCCCAGCCCCCGTGCAATCGCCTCCACCTGAGCCACCATCTCCCTCACCGCCCTCTCCAGCTCCTCCACTCGGCGCTCTGCTTCCTCCCGCGCCCGCTCCGCCTCCTCATACCGTCGTCTCGCCTCCGCCACCTCCACACCCACCTGCAGCATGTCTCTCTCCACCGCCACCGCTGCTCTGCCCTCCATGGCCTGACGCACCTCCCCTTGCAGCGCTCTGCTCACCTCGCGTTCTGCTGCAAGACCCTTCTCCAGCTCAGCTACTTGCGCCACCAGCCGCGCCCTCTCATGCTGCGCCTTGCTCGCCTCTACCTCGCCCCTCGGCCACTCGCCCGCCTCCTCCACCTCCCCCAGCACCACCTGCAGCACGTCTCTCTCCACCGCCACTGCTTCTTTGCTCTCCACGGCCTGCTGCAGCTCGCTCCCCACCTGCCTCCCTCTACTCTCCACCTCATTTCGCCTCTCCTCTGCCTCCATTCGCCTATCCTCAGCCTCCTTTTGCCTCTCCTTCGCTTCCATCCAACTCTTCCCAAGCCTCGCGACCTCTCCTCTCTGCTTCTCCAACTCAATTGACAATCGCTCCATGTGAGCCATCATCCGCACCACCGCCTCCTCCTTCTCTTGAATCAGAGCCTCCATCTCTCCCCTCGTCTTGCGCAACACTCGCCTGTGCTCCTCTCTCTCTTCTCCCGCATGCAACCTCGCTCGCTCAACTGCAACCTTCAACTCAGCTGCCTCTTTCTTCTTTGCTTCCAACCTCTCCTCCACCGCTGCCAGCTCCCCTCACCACCTCCACCTGCTGCTGCCTCTGCTTAATCTCTGCCCCCAGACCCCTCACCCGCTGCCTCAGCGCGTCCCTGTCTTCCTCCACTCGCCTCCTCGCCTCTATCTCTTCCTCCCCTTGCACCAACGCCGCCCTCGCCCTCTCCTTCAACACACCCACCAGCTCCCGGAGCCCTCCCGTCTCCCCATGGTACGCTGCAACCTTACTCAGGGCGCGCTCCTTCTCCTCCTGCACCCGCAACAACTGCTGCCCCACCCGCTGCATTTCCAGGTTCAGCCCCTCCACCTTCGCTTTCCTCCCCTCAAGCGCCCTCTCCTGAGCGTCCACACGCTCCTCTAGCTCCTTGCACGCCGCTCTTGCCTCGTCCACCGCCCTTGCCAGCCCCTCTTTCATCCCCACCTCCTCCTCCAGCCTCCCCTTCAGGTCCCTCGCCTGCGCCTCCGCTATTTCCAATCGCTGCCGGAGCTCGCTGATCCTCTCGTCAAGCCGCTCCTTCTCCCTCCGCCTCTCCTGCATCTCCGCTTGCACCCGCTCCTTCGCCAGCTCGTGGCTCTCCCTCTCCATTGTTTCGCCCTCCTCCCGCATCCGGCAGCTCGCCCTCAGCCCCGCCAGCAGCCCCTCCGCCTGCGCGACCTGCTTCTCCAACGCCTCGCGCTGCTCCCTCTGCTCCTGCATCTGCTGCGCCGCTCTGCCCTTCTCCTCCTCTGCTGCCGCCAAGGCCCTCTCTTTCGCCTCTGCTGCCACCTCTGTCTCCTTCAGCTTCCCTCTCAGCGCCTCCAGTTCAGTGCTCAGTTCAACCACGCGCTGCTCCGCTTCACCTCGCCTCCCCTTTGCCGCTTCCATCATCCTCGCGTTCGCTGCCACCTCCGCCTCTCGCTCCTTCACCTGCTCGCCCAGTACTTCCACCTGCTCGCGTAGCTGCTCCACCTGCCCTTGAAGCCCCCGCAGCCGTTCCACCATCACCGCGCTCTCTTTGCCTTCTCTCCCTTTCCGCCGTCTCCTTTGCCTCCTGCATCTCTCGCACTGCAGCCTCAGCCCTCCTCCTGGCAACTTCCCCTCGCCCCTTGCCCGTTCCACCGCATCCCTCTCCTCCTCCACCCTCCTCCTCTCCCTCTCTGCCACCTCCCTCGCATGCTCCAACCTCCCCTTCTCCTCACTCACACGCCTCAGCGCCTCCTCCGACTCCTCCGCCTTGGCTCTCACCACCCGCACCTCCTGCTCTAGCGCCGCCCGATCCCTCTCCACCGCTTCCCTCACTGGCCTCTCCGCCTGAACCTCTTTATCCCTCTGCTCCATCTTGGCCTCGCGACACCTCAGGGCTTCCCTCGCGCCAGCACTCGCTGCATTGACAGCAGCCAGCTCCCGCTCCTTCTCCTCAGCCGTCGCTCGCACGGCCTCTAACTCTGCTTCCAGCGCTGCCACTCTCTCTTCTGCCACACTCCTTCCAGCTTCTGCAGCAGCCATTGCCTTGCTGTGTGCCACCGCCCCCTCCGCCGCCCTCTCTGCCTCTTCCAGCCTTTTCTGAACACAACCAAGCTCCTCCTGTAACTTTCCGCACTGAGCACTCACCGCTGCCATTTCCTCCTGTACGACCCTCAGCTCCTCACTCACCCGCATGAACGCCCTTTCCACCTCGTCCTTCTCGCCCCTCACCTCCTTCGCCCTCACTTCCTCCTCCTCCCTCGCCTGCCTCTTCCCTGTCAACGCCGCGTCCAGCTCTCTCCTCGCCTCCTCCAAGTCACCCACCCGCTCCTTCACATCATCTACAGCATCCATCTCCCCCGCCAATCTCTCATCCGCGTCCCTCCGCATGCACTCCTCGCCTTCCAAAGCTTTCCTCGGCCCCCTCTCTCTCTCCTCGTGACGCCTCTCTAGCGCATCCACCTGCTGCCGCAGCTGCTCCACTTGCTCCTCCAACATGCTGCTCCGCTGCGCAGCCTCCTCCCACTTCCGCTGCTCCTCTGCCGCCTGCTCTCTCACAAATTGTAGCGCACTCCTCTCTTCCGCTAATTCACTCCATGCCACCTCAGCGCTCTCCTTCTCCGATTTCAGAGTGGCCTCCACTTTCGCCCTCTCCTCAGCCTCCCTCTTCTTCTCCGCATTTGCCTCCTCCAGCCGTCTCTCCGTCTCTTCCAGCCCAGCCTTGGCCCTCCTCTCCAGTTCCAGCTTCATTGCAGCTAGCTGCTCTCGCTCCTGCACAGCCTCCGCCTCTGCCTTCTTCCTCCTTGCCTCCTCCTCCCCAAACTCCCTCCTCACCTTCTCTTCCCTCGCCCGCGCCTCGTCCACCACCCTCGCCAGCCCCTCTTTCATCCTCTTGTCAAGCCGCTCCTTCTCCCTCCGCCTCTCCTGCATCTCCGCCTGCACCCGCTCCTTCGCCTGCTCACGCCTCTTCCTCTCCATTGTTTCGCCCTCCTCCCGCATCCGGCAGCTCGCCCTCAGCCCCGCCAGCAGCCCCTCCGCCTGCGCGACCTGCTTCTCCAACGCCTCGCGTTGCTCCCTTTGCTCCTGCATCTGCTGCTACACTCTGCCCTTCTCCTCCTCTGCTGCCGCCAAGGCCCTCTCTTTCGCCTCTGCTGCCACCTCTGTCTCCTTCAGCTTCCCTCTCAGCGCCTCCAGTTCAGTGCTCAGTTCAACCATGCGCTGCTCCGCTTCACCTCGCCTCCCCTTTGCCGCTTCCATCATCCGCGCGTTCGCTGCCACCTCCGCCTCTCGCTCCTTCACCTGCTCACCCAGTACTTCCACCTGCTCGCGTAGCTGCTCCACCTGCCCTTGAAGCCCCCGCAGCCGTTCCACCATCGCCGCGCTCTCTTCATCCGCCCGCCTTCTCTCCCTTTCCGCCATCTCCTTTTCCGTAGGCTGTGCGGCGCGGGGTTGACAGTTCGTTGCCCAAGGCGATGGTGTCCCAGGGGTCGCGGTGCGGCTGGACGTCAAGTGGTGGCAGCGGAGGTGCGGGAAGACGAGGGGGACGGCCGAGGGGAACAACGCGCGGTTCGGCTTCTGCAGCTCCTTCTTTCCCCCTTTGTTCTCCTCACCAGACGCTCCACCCTTCACCGTAAGTGCCCCATCCGCTGGTGTCGCCGCCAGTTGCGGCGCCCCAACCGCCAGTGTCGCTCGTTCCCCATCAGCCAGCGCTTCCCCAACCCCCTTCATCGGAGGCGCTTTCTTCCTCCGCTCCCCAGGCACCGCAGGCAAATGTCCCGCGAGCTTCAGCGAGGCTCTTCTGGCAGAGTTCTTCGGCTTCGCGGCGTGCCAGCTCTTCTTCTGGTTCCATGGTAGGTTCTGTCATGCGGACACGCCAGTGGGGGTACAGCTTTAGGAACTCCTCTTTAGTGTAGGGAAGCGCCACGCTGCGCGCGTCGAGAAATCCGCGACGTTGACCTCGTAGGATGGTTTCGAGCCGCTGAGAGGGGGAGCCTGCAAGTGGGTTCTGGTCGGTGCCAAAGACCTGGCGAGAAGCGACCTCCATCTCCAGTGCTGACATCCCTTCTTTAGGCGGCGCGGCTCGTTCAGCTTCGGCAAGGCCGCAGCCGGTGATGGCGCTTGTTGAGGCAGTGGGCGTGTAACAATCCCGGCAGATGCCGTCGGGGTCAGGGTTGTGCAGCGCCAGCTCGTGTGGGTAAGGGTGATGTGGCACCCATGGTCGTCCATCAGGGTGCTTCCAGTCCGAGCGTTGAATGTGCTCGAAGCGCAGTGGAACGAGATCGATTAGCTCGTCGAATCGCCGCTGCAGTTGGGAATGTCGAAGTCGAGGATCTACACCCCGTTCTCGGAGTGCGCTCGTCCGATCTGCCTGCGTGGTTTTGTTGGCAATGAATAGTGAAGCAGGATGTCGCGTGTGTGAGGATCCGTGCTGAGTTCGACGCCGCAATCCATGAGTTGAGCGGCGGATAGCAGGTTGAAGCGCAGGTTCTGGACTATCAGCACATCGTTCAACGTGATGTGCGTGTGGCTCCCACGTGCGTTGAGCACGACGATTCCTTGCGCACTTGCGCGCAGACGAGTGTTGTTCGCCACGCTGACATAGGTGACCGCGGGGGTTGGGACGGCGTTGGAGACGAAACGACCGGAGCCCACTATGTGCTGGCCGCAGCAGCTGTCCAGGTACCAGGTGTTGTAGCGCTTCTTGTCGTCACGTGCGAGCAGCGCCAGTCGCGGTGTGACGATGTGCGGTGTGTCAAATTTCAGGAATTGTTCGCGCGAGATCCAATTGATCGGTGCCGCCCGCGAATCTGGTACGTGCGGGGGGCTCTCAAGCAGCGGGACTGGCGGGTTCCAGTCTTGTTCGTCGTCGTCGCTGAAATCGCGGCGCGTGTTGAATGCGTTATTGTTCGTGAACGCCCCGATTAATTGATGGGCTGGCTCCGGAGACGGTTTGCGCTCGAGGGGATGGCGAGATCCGCTTGTCATAGTCATGTTCCCCATGACGTTGCGAACTGTGACGGCTGCTGCTGCTGCTGCTAGTGCTGAACCACTGGGTTCAAGTTGCGCGATGGGGGTTGGTACCCCTGGGCAGGACGCGTGTCGTTTCGTGCGTCTTGTCGGCCGGACCAGGTGCTCGGATTGGTCTGGCGAGGGCGAGATTGGAACTTGCATCAATCTGCCAGGTGCCCAATTTTGTTGCAGACTTTGCAGTAAAGGCGCCGCGGCCGTCGCTCTTCTGCGTTGTCCGCGTAGAAGGCGAGGCGTTCCCTTTCTCGTCGCAACGCTGGTTGCTGCTGGTCCATGTCTCTCTGTTCGACAAGTAGGGCGGTGCATAGGGCGGCCTCTGAGATGACCCCCTGCTGTCGGAGAAGCGCCTTACAGGGCCGCCACTCTGGGCCGAGCCCTTGGAGCTCGATGTTCACGAAGATCTCCTCTGAGATCGTGCTCCCCAATTTCGCGATTTGATTGCGTAAGCTCCGACAGCAGTTGATGTTGTTGTTGGCCTTCTCCCCTGGGGCCATTTTCGTCTCCAGTAGCTGCTGGAGCAGGCGGCTCGAAGAAACGGAGTCCTTCAATTGGTACACGCCATTTAGGTGCCGCCATGCGTCAAGGGCTGGAGCAGACGATCTCTTGTACGATCGAATGCTCAGCTGCTCCGTCGGCGACATGTTTCTGAGCAGGACGCTGTACGCCATCAGTGATTTGTTGTAGTAATGCGCCTTGGCGTTGGCCGTATCTTCAGCAAGCCCGGCGTAGCTCCCGTCGAAATAGTGGAAAATCTGCGTGTTTTGCAGCAGCTACTCCAGCTCGAAGCTCCACACATAGAAGTCCGTGCCGTCAAAGCACACACTAGTCTTTATTTTTTATATGATGAGAAACCTTGATTGCGCAAAGAGAATTACTTCTTCGCTAGGACGAGGAGTTTTGGGAGATGAGCCATTAGTGCCGAGGGAGAAGGTGTGCGGGGCGGTATTATGGCCGTTCGAGGCCGGTTGAGAGGGTTGGGAAGATGTTCCCGCGTCGCCATTCCGCAATGTTTGGAGTCGCTGAAGCAGTTGTGACCGCGGTGCCAATGGTTGTCGTCGCCTTGTTTGTCGCAACCGGGTTGGGTTGCGCTTCAGCCGTCAGATTCGTCTGACCTCCATATCCTCCGGCCATTCTTACGCGTGAGCGTGTGCCAGGCGCCACTTTAGTTCGCCGATGATTTCAGTGGTGGCGTTGCGAAGGATTCCCGAGTAGCTCTCATACCATGCTGCGATCAGAAGTTGATCGTAACCTAGGAACATCTCGGAAAGGTTCGCACAGAGTCGTGCAATTGGTGGTGGGCCCTTGACCTCAATTCAGAGTGAATGTAAAATGATTGAGATAATAAAACTATTGGTGTAAGGGCCTAATAAACTCAGGCTATTAAGACTTAATCAAACTTAAAACCTCTCCTCGGGGTCACCTCCAAGGGTCCCTGGGTGCCTGGTACGAGACCAGCCCCTATCCTCGGGTCCGAGTTTGAGAGACAGGAGTTAAGAATGACTTAGCCAAAATAGCAAGAGTACCTTGAACGTCGCGTAGCGTGCCGTGCAGACCGTCGATCGGATAAAGCTGAGAATTTGTTATATCGAAGCTCGCTCTAAGAGCTTTAAAATAAGCCAAGTTGACTCGCGAAAAGTTCTGCCATTACGAAGTTATGGCTCGGACAGCGTTTGCCTAGCGTGGGAGTGCTAGCATACTAGCGTTGACTCGGGTAGCATTCCGCAGTCAAATAGCACAGAAACGAAATTCCAGCGAGGAAAGAATACTGCTAGCTAGCAATGACCTTGGGAATCAACCTGGGAACAACCAGGGATGATCTCAAATAATTCCAAGCAACAGAACCAACCTGGCTGGACAAATGCACACACCTTCCCTTCCCTACAACCTGAGTGCAATCTGGTGTGTGCATTTGGGGCTGGTGGCAAAGGGGTTTATCTACAAGGAGAAGCAGGACTTCAACGAGATCTTTGCTCCCACTGCCAAACCCCCTACCAATGCTGCTACCAAACCCCCTACAAATGCTCACCAAATAATTCCACCAACCCCTCTCCTCGAGCATAAACCCCTTTGCCACCAGCCTACTCTTGTAGATGGTGACCTGCCCCTTGTCATCGGTCTTGATCCTCAGCACCCACTTGCATTGTATCGCTTTCTTCCCATCAGGCAGCACCACCAGATCCCATGTCCCATTTTCTAGCAGGCTCTGGTACTCAGCATCCCTAGAAGCCAGCCACTTGTCCCTATCTGATCCAGCTAGTGCCTCCTCCATGCTAGCTGGTTCCTCTGGTGCAGGGGCAAGAAAACAGTACGCAGGCTCGTCCTCCTCATCCGGGTCATAGCCATGAGGTAGAATCAGCATTGCCTCCTCGGTCCCAAGCTGCTGCTCCGCTACACCTGATCCTGCAGTCAGCTTCTTAGTAGCCATACGGGTACGTCCTGGCTTGGAGACGGGTGTCTCCCATCCCTTCATAACGACACCCTTCGGCTTCTTAGTTTTCCCCTGCTGCTGCTCTCCTCCCTCGGATCCAGCAGCTCCACTAGTGCTGCCGCCAGTTTCCACACCATTTTCTCCACCAGCAGGTGCCTCCTGTACCTTCTCTCCATCACCATTCCCCGCAGCTGCCTCCTCTCCCTCCTCCCACACACTAGGAGTCAGGTCCAGCTGCATGGTGATTTGCTCCATCTGCTGGGATACCTGGGCCTCCGGCTGTTTCTCCCAGCTCCCATACATCATGCCCTCAATGAATTTCACATCCCTGCTGTCAAACAACACACCCTTGGATGGTTCCCACAGCAGCCATCCCTTGCTCTCAGCAGCCAGCCCCAAATGCACACACCAGATTGCACTCGCCCCCAACTTACTGCGGTAGGTCTTGGGGACGTGGGCGACTGCCATGCAACCGAACACCCTCAGCATGTCCACCGGCGGCTTCCTCCCAAGCCACCTCTCCAAAGGCACCCACGAGTCATCCCCAACCTTGGTGAGCACCCTGTTCCTAGCGACGGTAGCGTGCCGGACAGCATGAGGCCACATAGAATTGCTCAGCCCACATCTATCAGCA